CTAAAGATCTAGAAGAAGGTTGGCACATCCAGAAAACAAAAAAGAAGAAATTGCCTTTGGAACTAAATAACCTACTCCCTTCTTCTTCTTCCTTGGAGGAAGCCCCCCCTCTCTCTTCTAGTACTGTTAGAACTAGGAGAAGAGGAAAATCCACCTCTATAGGTTAATGAATCTAATCTATTGGAATGTTTGTGGATTAGCACATCCTAAATCCCTTAATCGAATTCTGGCTCTTAATAGGATGTATAAATCTTGGATTATTGCTATACTTGCATTTATGATTACTAAACATGTCAACAGACTTGTAAGGAAGTTTCCTGGATTTCAGCAATATGGCTCTTTGGCAAACAGGAAATTCAATGCACTATCATTAAAGAGGGAACTCAATTTATCCATTTGAAGATTAATTTAAATTACTATAATGGTTTTGCTACCTTCATTTATGTTGGCTGTACTTCCACTGCTAGCCAGGAACTTTGGCAACAGTTACAAGATTTACTTCTGGATAGTTGGGGGGGACTTCAACTGCCTTTCTTCACCTAGTGAAAAGAAGGGTGGGAGATCTCCTGATATCAAATTAATGAACAATTTCAATGATAACATTCAGTCTACTGGACTTTTTGATTTGGGTTTTATTGGCCCTAAGTACACTTGGAGAAGGGGGAAGATTTGGGAGAGGCTGGATAGAGTTTTGGTGAATGATTTTTGGTTCAAGGATTTCCTGCATACTTCAGTCCAACCTTTGGCTATGAGTGGGTCTGATCATAGACCCTTACTTATTAAGATTTCTTCCAAAAATTCTAAAAGTAAAGCAAAGTTTAGGTATTTCAATATGTGGTCCATGCATGAGGATTTTATCAATCAAGTATCAATGACTTGGATTGATATTCATCATCACATTCCTGGTATAAAACTCTGGATTTTACATTTAAAAGTCAGTAAAAACCTTTCTAATTGGAATTGGGAGGTGGTTGGGAACATTGATAATAAAGTCCTTGAGACTGAACAGAATGTATTACAATGAGAACAACTCATGTCCTCTGGCATAGGGTCTGAAATGGATCTTCAGTCTGCAAATGAACATTTGCTGGATGCAATCAACATGCAGGAGGCTTTCTATGCTCAGAAGGCCAACAAAATGAAATTTTTTGAGGGAGACAGAAATTCTAAATATTATCATGCTTGCATCAACTACAGGAGGAAATGCAACACAATTCACAAAATCCTTTCTCAGGAGGGTCACTGGATTACTACTGCTGAGGGCATAGCTAATAATGTTGTTCAATACTTTCAAAATATTTTCAAACAAACTTCTACCTCTCAACCTCCCATAAAGCAAAACTTGTTTGATAAGGAAAGGGAATTAACCAAAAGCTTATCTCTCGCTGATATTCCTGATGAATTAGAAATATGGGAAGCTTTAAACTCCATTGATAGCAGAAAAGTAGCTCGACCTGATGGGTTCACAGCTAATTTTTATAAAAAGGCCTGGCTGATTGTGAAGGGTGAGGTCATTGCTACTATCCAAAGCTCTTTCTGGGGGGCTGATCTCCCCCAAATATTTCTCCTCAGCTACTATTACTTTGGTTCCAAAGGAAAATACTCCTCACAAATGGGAAAATTTCAAACCCATAAGCCTCACTTCTGTTATATCCAAATCCAAGATAATAAGCAAAGTTCTGGTCTAGAGATTACAACCTCATTTAAATCAGCTTATATGCAGAAATCAGGCAGCCTTCATCAAGGATAGAAGTATTGTTGATAATGTGCTCTTGGCTCAAGAGTTGGTATTGGATTTGGAGGTAACTTAATTCTCAAATTGGATATCAAAAAGGCATATGACACAATCAATTGGAGGTTTATTGAACAAGTTCTCATTGCTAGAGGTTTCTCCCCAGCCTTTATCTCTCTAATCAACAGATGGCTGACTAATAATTTCCATTCCATCTTCATCAATGGAACCTCCCATGGTTTTTTTAGTGCATCTAGAGGTATCAAACAAGGTGACCCCCTTTCCCCTACCTTTTTTATTTTGGTTTTTAACTACTTATCTAGAATCTTGAATGAGTTGGCTACCAGGAAACCCCACTCCCTTTATAGCCATAGATCTACCACATTAATCAATCATTTGGCCTTTACTGATGACATCATCATTTTTTTCAAAAGCTTCCAAATCTGTTGTTAAATTATTCATGCAAAGCTTGGAGAGTTTTCAGGAGGCCACTGGTATGAAATTAAATAAGCAGAAGTGCATCTCCATCTTCAGCAAACAATGCAAAAGTGAGCTAAAGACCTGGTTTCTGATTTCACTGGCTTTACCAATAGCCATCTCCGTGTGAAATATCTTGGGGTAATTCTTATCAAAGGAAGAACAAAAAACTCTCAGTTTGATCACATTTTAGAAAATATTCAAAGCAAGCTTCAAGCATGGGAGAATTCCTTTTTATCCAATGTGGGTAGGATAACACTTTTGAAAAGTGTTTTATCTGCTATTCCCTCATATCTACTGCAAATGAATATTCTGAAAAAGTCAACTCAAAGATTATTAGAAGGAGTTTTCAATAGATTTCTATGGGCTGGTCAAAGGAAGCAAAAACATTGGACTAAATGGGCTAAGGTATGTAAACCTTTTATGGAAGGTGGGTTAGGCTTCAAGTCCTTCCCCCAAATTATGCATACTAACCTCTGCAAACTCTGGATCAAATTCAGATCTCAGTCCTCACTTTGGGCTGAGTTCTTAAGGGAAAAATATTGCAAGCATCAACACCCTACCCATGTATCTGTATCCCCCATTTGGAAAAATATGTTGCTGATTAGGGAGGAAGCTGAAAAAATGTATGTCTGGGAGATTGGTGAGGGATTGGTTAACATATGGTGGGATAACTGGTCTTTGGAAGGCAATCTTCTGAATGCTCAAATTGCTCCAGCCTCTCCAAAGATTGTCAAGGACCTCTGGGATCATGATAAGTGGAATCTTACTTCTATTCTTCCTTTTTGCAGCCCTTCTCAAATCTCTAATATTCTGAAACTCTCTGTTAATCTTGGGCAAAAGGACAGAATTGCTATCAAAAAGAGCCTACTATCTTCTCAGCCTCCCCAACAGGTGGTGGATTGGGGTCAAACAATTTGGAATAAATTTCTCACTCCCTCCATGTCATTTTTTATATGGAGACTCTTCTTAAAATTGATTCACACTGATGATATATTGAAATTGAAAGGCCTAAGGGGTCCCTCTAGATGTTTTTTCTGTCTTACTGAGGAGGAAACAATTTCCCACCTATTTTTTGCCTGCCCCTGGGTGCAGGAAGTTTGGTCTATTGTGATTGGAAAATTGAAAGTCCCAACTATGAATCTATCATGAGAGGTATTATATAATTGCTGGTCAGAGTGGAGGGGAATCAATCTTCAAGACGTCCCCAACATTATGGCTTGGTTTGTTTGGATGGCCAGAAACCATTTGAAGTATGAATCCTCTCCTATTGAGCCAATAAAGGTGGTTCTAAACTGTATTGCCTTTATACAAAAGCTGATTAAATTTAAAGGTTTTGAAGCTGTGTTGGAGTTGAGCCCATCTTTTAATCCTTCCATTACCAAAGTCTTGAAAATTTGCTTGTCTCTACCAAAGTATAGATGGATAAAAGTTAACACTGATGGTTGCTATAAATCTCAGTCTGCTGGTATTGGTGGTGTCTTCAGGAATCATGAGGGGAGGTGCATCTTGTTCTTCCAATCTCCTATTAAAGCTTTGGACCCACTTGAAGCTGAATGTCAAGCTATTTTTTGGGCCCTTAACTTAGCCAGATCTTGTCACTTCAACCAGCTATGGGTTGAATCTGACTCTTTGATGCTTATTAACATTATCAAGGGCTCCAATGACACTCCATGGAACTTAATAAGCTGGAT